AAAAAAAAAAAAAAACATTTGTGTTCCCCTTTGTGGCACTTTCAAATTTCAATAATTGTGTTATGAGTAGCTTCTTGTGTGCTTTTGAAAGTTGAGTTATTTCAATGATTCTATCTGCATTTACTTTTTCTTAATCAAGTTTTAAACGAGTCGAGCCGAGCTCACGACAAACTCTCGTATAGTTTATATCAATACATTTTTCAATAAAGAAAAGTGAGATTAGTCATGCATGAATTATAATGTAGGTTCATTTAATTAATTAGTCTCTTAATCATCATAATCATAGTGACCTCACGTATTATTTGTGTACCCACAGCATGCACAAACAATTAATAAATAAATGGGGTCGTTTGGTAAATAGGTAAAATGCGGGGCCACAACGCAATTTTGTGCATATTTTAAACCCATGCATTTGGGGGTAGGGGCCGGGCCCTTAAGGCCTAGTAGGGTTTATTTCATATTTGCAACGATTTCCATCAATTTAATTTATTATTATTTTTTTTTAATTGGGAAATAAATAATGTAAAAATTGGATGATTGATGACTTCACATTGCTACCCTTGTCCTTGTGCATTCAATTCGACCAATTTGTCCTTGTGCCTTCGTAGTATGATTTACATTTTTCGCTTTTGCACATATTTATTTTATAAGTGTTACTATTCTATTGAATTACAAAATTTTATGCGAATTATTTCGATGATTGTTCACTACTAACTATCTACAGCAAATTCTACCCGAATAAAATGAATGTCGAACTATTGAGTCTCGACTTTTATTTCTATAACGGCGGGTCGTTACGAAATTTGACCATTAATTTGCAAATTTTGTCTAGATTATGGAGAAAAAACAAAAGTTACTATTTTTGTTATTTTGTTATTTTGGGATTAAGACAATATATTGTAACACTCACACGCATGATTTGGCATTATGTCCGACAAACCTAAGTGTTTTCTAGAAGATTTCTTGTTAAGCAAGCAAAATAAATTAAAGGGAAGTTTTTCTATTTATTTACTTGTGATTTAATTAAGTTCCTAATATTTATTATTAATAATATATGGTATATATTCATTGTAGTATGTATTATGAAATCCTAATCCTTTAGGAGAAGGATTACATAATATATATCTTATATATTTACTTACCATATATGCCACATGCCATAATTAGTTCTCTTTTGCTTGTAGGACAAGGAATAGGTGGCAAGGACTATGAAAGGATGAGCTTTACATACAAGAAGAGATCTGGACGTTCATGAGAAGATCTAAGGAGGATTTGGAAAGATTCACCACAAGATCTTTGAAGATTTGGAAGATCGGCTATTTTTGGAAAGTCATGTTCTTACCAGATTCTGGAAGGCAAGATTTCCATTGGAAGTTCAATTCTGAAGATCTCCAAATCACATGCACGATTTATACACCAAGGAAACTTACCTTACATGAAGGATGTCGTCCAAATCAGAAAGCAATCTATTGAGAAGGAAATTGACTCCTAAAAGGAAAGGAAGAACTTGGAGAAGACTCCACCCTAAGGAGTTGTATATATACCCTGCTTGAAGATCGAAGATATGCGGCTGAGATAATTATCTTTCATTCAATATTCGAGCTTCAAGCCTTTTTAGTTTTATTTTGTTCACAGTTCAGTTCAAGGTTCTTACGTATCCAAGAACTGAAGCTGTTTAGTTTGTTTCTTTTTATTTCATTCAAACACTTTTGTGATCAGTACTTAGGGATTAAGTACAGTGGTTAGCTCGAGGGATTCGAGAGTTAGAAGTCCACGGGACGTGGTCGGAGAAGTAATTGATAGGATCGTGTGTAGTTGTGGCTAGACTAGAAGGGAGTTCGAGTCGTGTAAGTCCAAACTATACAAGTGTGAACGATTTATCAATGAAAGAGCTTTGAGGGGAAGTGGGACGCTTCCCTGAAGAGTTTTTTACATCTTCGGTTTATTGCTTCCGCTATTTACGATTGTTTACCACGTTCTTACATCATTTTGCGCACTGGAGTTAAAAATATACGTTTCATTTTCAATTCTGCAAATTCAATTTATGCTATTTTTGTATGATTTTTATAAATATTGGCTGTGTAAAAATATGAAAATGAAATAAAATAATCTAACCATGGCACACATGGGCCACATGCTCGTGGGCCCAACCCGGTGCAAAAAGTGGGCCTGCTCATGATTTGCTGGAATTCAATTGCAATTTTGAATTCTTTGTGTACTGGCCGAATCATTTTTTTTTCTTTTATTTATTTTTGCTGTTTTTTCACTTTTTTGCAATAAAAAACACTTTCATTTTAGAGTATCGTATTTTAAAAAAAAAAATTAATTATTAAACTTGTAATAAAATATACAGATCAATAATGTCATTTTGGCTGCCATATATTAACTCTCCATCTCTTTATTACCCCAAATTAATTAGTCATTTGAATTCAACCCCTCAAGTTTGACTATTGATACATTCAATATGTAGGGATGTCAATAAAACCCATAGGGTCGGGTTACCCGCAGGTTATCCGCATTTTTGGGTCGGGTAAACCTGAGATGATTGGATTTCGGGTCAGGTTAGGGTATAATTATGCTACCCGAACTCCGGGTCGGGTCGGGTGCGGGTATAGTAGGCAAACCCATTACCCAACCCGATTACTCTACCCGTTTACCCGCAACCATTGAATCATATATATATATACATACATACACACACACACAATATATATATATATATATATATATATATATATAAAAGTAGGCATGTGTTATTTTTAAAAATTAGATTATCTATTATAATTTTGATTAATGATTAGATTTATTTCATTTTTATAATTTTATTATCATTTTTTGTTAATTGTACAATAAAAAATAAATATTTAATTTTAAATATTATAATATTAAATTTGAATATAAAAGATAAATAATCATATCTCATTATTTATTACAAAAATAATATATCTTTTATTGTCAAACTTAGTTAATAAATTATTTCTCATTATAATTAATTGTGAAATTATTTATTTTATTTTATTTTTCATATGAAATGAGATGGGTCGGGAAAAACCTAAATTTAAGACTCGGGTTACCCGTTTACCCGACGAAAACCCACTAACCCGTCGGGTAAAACCCAACCCGAACCCGAACATCACTATTTGGGTAACGGGTAGGGTTTGGGTAGGGTAACTTATATGCGGGTCGGGTTTGGGTTTTCCAAAATCCGTACCCAACCCGACCCATTTACATCCCTATCAATATGGTTCTTTAAATAATCTGAAACGGTAAGTTGGATTCTACTGCATTGTTTATTACAGTTGGATCACACGCTTTTACAAACATGCGATCCAACAATAATGAAACACGTGTGGCACTGCTAAAGTTGTTAAATGAAACATATCGTTCGCAAGCTTAGCTCGTTAAGACTCGTAAGTAAAAATTTGTATGCGGTATTCTATATCTCGATTTGTTATAGCTCAAGTTCAACTAATTTATATTAATAAATAAATTGATCTCATTTATCGAATCATTTTGCTAATTGAGTCGTACTCGTTTAAAACATCCGTTGAACGCTTTTTATCCTGTTTTATAGAGTTTTTAATTATGTGCATTAAATTTTCTTAGAAAAGATAATCATGATTATGGTACAATTGTTGTGTTTAGTTAAATCATATCATTTAATTACTTCCATATGTTAATTAATTAATTAATTAATTAACAACTTGTTTGTCGAGTTCATATGTTAAATGAGACCGTATATAATGATGCTGATTTGAGAACAGTTAGTTGAAGTATAGTCATCACCAATTTATGAACCTTTCACACGTGTCATTTTTTAGAACTTGTGTCAAATGTTGCTTGTGAGTTGTGATCGTCAATTTAAAAATAAAAAAAAAAAATAAAAAAATTTAACATATTAATATAAAGAAAAATTGTACATTTTTTATTAGAGAATTGTATTTAAAAAAGTAAAATTATTTCTCAAAAGCTATTGTAAATTAGCTATAATACATTCTTTTGATTAGTGGAAAGTTGAGTTGTTGAACAACTGAGTTAGCTGCCAGAATTATAATACGTACACTTAAACATTCTTTAAATAATTAAAAAACAAAATTAATATTACTGGACATTTATTATGTATGCATAATATATACATATAAGTAAAAATAACTATTTTTTTAGTAAAAAACTCATATAGTATTATGTTTTTTTCGAATGAATCCAAAAATATTTTCAAATTGGTGCTTAGTTAAAAAGTAAATTAAAAGTTGTCACAAATCATATATATATACACGTATATTTTGGTATTTTGGTAGTCAGCCACGGTATTCGGAGCTATGCCCCGATTAATTCGTTAGTTAATCCGGATTGCATACCTGGCAGTGGTGGGTAAGTCTTCTAACAAAGATTTTTACATTTACAACGACTCGAAGCGGAGACTTTGTTTAAGCAGCATCAAATTGCTTACCACTTGAATAAATTACAATTAGTACAAATCAGATATACATTAATTCACCACAAGCTTCTTATTTAAATTCAAAATCGTTGATTACCGAATTATGTTAAAAAATGGCCAATAAAAGGTTCAAATATAAAGCTAAAAATATCTCATGCAAGACAACGACCAATCGAGAAAACAAGGTATTTAATGCAGCCAACTCTAATTTATACTCGGAGGTTGAGATTTTTAAATGCACTTTAGCTTATACCACATAAATATTTTATTTATTTATTATATATT